GGTGTATGAGCAACAGGAAGAACCTCCGGTACATCCTTTGAATGGTTGAGAGTCAGAGATTGGAGACTTCCAAGCCATTGACTGCATTTGGAGTGAGAACGTCAAGACCAAATACACACGAACATGTCCAAAACATGGCTTCCAACTGTTGCATCATTACTTGAAGCCTCTCTTGAACCAGAAACATCGGAAGCTTCTTGCCTTTTTCATTATATATTTATTTTAATTTTATTTCCTTTATTTAACCAGGTAAACCCCGTTGAGATCTAGATCTCATTTTCAAGAGGGACCTGCAATACACAGCAAACCTGGACTAAGAAGAAAAAGAGCATATTTTTAGTCAGTCATCTGACATTTTATTTTCAGACAAAAGTAAAGAATAAAGTTTAACAAAGAGGACTGCATAGTAACTTAACATCAACACATTTTGTGGTACATTGTGCAATGGGAAATCGCACAAGGATGCAATAACATCTGGTTAACTGTTATCAGGTTTCACTAATAAGATTGATGTGTTCCAGTAACGGGGTTACATGTAGTTATAAAACATTTAGTTTGGCAAAACCGTCTGTTGAGCAGCTCCAAGAAAACCCTGTTGGACACTGAGTCTGATAGATTCATTGCAGCACTGGGCTTTTCTCCCATTTGACAAGCACTAAATTGTAGTCCAGTTGATATACCTCGGATATCTGTGTTTGTTTGGTTTCAGAAGCAAATGTAGGATGAGATCAACCACCTAAATAAATCCAATTTTGATACATGATCTCTTCAAGTGAGGTGACCTCATTTGTTAAAAAAAAAGATAACTCCATTTATAGAGTTCAGGGAAAGCGATGCGTTGCCCCTGCTGTCCTTCCATACCGCCAAACTCACAATGCAGAGGCCAGAGAAATGCAGCTGTCCCACTGTAGATATGTCATGCATACAGAAACATACCTCCTACAATCGTGGCTCCAATCTTTCAGACAGTAAAAAAGAAAAAGACAAATGAAAGGCAAAAGAATAAAAAGTTGAAAGAGGTTTTCACAAACCCATATTTGTCCTCCTAACCAATGTCCAGGCAGCATTCTTAAACAGTTCAAAGAGATGAGTCACTTCATGCCCATTACTTTCTTTGTGACATGAGGGTGACCCAAGTTAATGATTTACACACAATTCTTCCCATCAGACCCTGACAAGTCCTCTTGCACACCAGCTGCATACCATAACTTGGATGGCTCACATTGTGAGCTCATGAAGTAATGAGAGCAACTTGGTTAAGTATACTACACGTGTGCAAAAAATCTAGCCTATTGAAAGCACAGGTGGTGATAAGTGCTGTTTATGTACCTAATGGGGAGTGCTGATAAAGACATAGTTGACAAGTACTTTTGTTCTTTTTCTGAAAGGCAAATTAATTACCGTGTCCTTTTTTAGTATTTATTTTCCATATTTATTTTTTAAGCATAAAAAATCTGATCATATAGTATAATAATAAAATCATTATGTAATTTTTACAGATAAACCTGTGTACACTGTCAAAATATTTTTTTTATTACCACCATACAATAAAAATTATGAACATCTGGAATTACATCTTCAACCATCATATAAAATTTCACTGAATGCTATGGAAAAGCAATACCATGTATCAATGCAAATGTGTGTGCAGGACGTCATGCTGGAGATTTAAACCACAGAGAAATATAGGTCTCTTGTGGCACCTATTCCTTCTGTCATGTCATAATCATTCCTTTGCCACATTTAGAAAAGATCCTTCATGGTTACCTAATGCACCTTGTGACACCCTGACAAGGTTATCCACAACCCATGCATCACACAAATGTGATGCTAAGCATTTTGAAGGAGGTTATCTGTATGTTTTTCAAATGCCTAGTCATCTTGGTGTGATTGATGTCCTGAGTGAATCTACAGATGGGACTTGCAGTGAGAAGCCCCCAGAGACCAGATGCGCTGAGTATGCTTGAATTAAACACAGAATTGGTTGATTTTTACTTCTATTAAAAGCATAAACACACAGGTTCAAAGCTGATTCCAGACGATATTGACAGCCAACTTTTTGAAGTGTAGGAGAATCTGGGTTTTGGAGTTGCTCCAATGACCAAAGATAACTTCCAAAACTGCAGCGTCTACATCTTCTGAGAGCTAAATGTGAACTAAATGAGGACCTTTGCTTCATTCTCGTACGGATGGCCGAGTTGCACCTCCCTGTGACCCTTACATGCTTCATGAGATGGACCATAAAAATAATCGCTTTGCTAATAAATTCAGCTTGACAGTCACAGCCATTTCAGAGTATATGTTTTCACTGCAGTCCCGCTGCATGAGGCATGCCCAATCAAATATATACTCACCAGCAGCAACAATTTTCCCATAAATTGCATCATGCTAGACGTGTCACAATAAAAGCCTTATGGTTCAGCCTGGTGAAGAAAATGGCCAACATTTAAGGAAAAAAAGATGGATGGTCAAATGGTGGCTCTTTGCTGAGGTGTTGAAAGATGAGTTAGTAGTGAATTGTGGTAGAGGTGGTGTCATTGCAGATGCCTGCTCCCACCGATGCTTTTGAAAAGTGACATCAACATCAACTGTGAAATTTGCTCATTGATGACCGGGGAGGGTAACCCAGTATATAAGGGAGAGACGCCTCCCTCACATGAAAGAGTGATCAACAAGTTTGACTTCTTCACCCAGATCGAAACGGGCCTGGTACTGATAAAGCTGCCAAAACGTTTACTTTATGAGGACAGAGACGCTGGTAAGAGAGCATTTTAATGTGGATAAATTCTTTAAATATGACTTTGTACAATCTGATCCAAAAACATAATGCATTTAATGTTGAGTGGTAAATACTCATAAAGTTGATTTCATTTGTTTCAGCGATACAAAATGTCTGCATTGAGGTACTTGGAAACATTGGTTCTGATCCTCTTATTTACATATATCCTTGCAGAGGCAAATCCAATAAGGTAATCAGTCCTTTTTCCTAATTCATAACTTTTGAAACTGAAAATGATCTATTTCAATACACTAACCCGAACACATTCATGTATAGGCAGAAATCACAACTATACTGGAGTAGTTTTGTTTCTGTTTCAGCAGAAAGCGGTCCATCAGCGAGGTACAGTTTATGCATAATGTCCAGGAACACAAGCAAGTTGGAGAAAGACAGGACTGGCTTCAAGAAAAGCTGAAGAAAATTATTATTCCTAGCCCTAAACCACAATATGCAAGACCAGGAAATCGTAAAAATCTTCCACCAGAAAATGTTTTCAGGCCAAACACATGAAAGAGCTTAAGCCTTTTGGTATGTGTTTGAATATTTCACCAACCAAAAGCGTCATGTTTCAAAGCTTCATCTATTTTTTTTTATTTATTTAACAAATTTTATTTTTATGCAAACCTATATTTTTGTATTATAAATGTACAAACTTTTTGAGCATTTTTAATTTATTTATTTGATTTACTTCACCTACATTTACCAGCAATATGAATACAACTATTGAAGCCTTTTGTCTGGCCATTTAGGCAAAGGGAGGAGACTGTTTAATATTTCCTTATGCACTCACTCATGATGCATTTCAAAACTAATTTTTGTGTATTTTGTAATATTAAAGGACCAATAGCTAGTTTTACATATTCTGAATTTTTTATGTTATTGCACATAAAAGGAAATGACTGTAAAGTAACGTTTCAAAACATTAGAAAATTTTAATCAGAAATATGTATGCTATAACAGACGTACATCAACTTTTGTTATTGACTTTTTCTCACGTTTTGAATTGGATTAATGTATTTTCTTTTGGATTTTATGACTGAAATGGGTTTATATATTTTCTTATTAATGTGGTGTAGAAATAACTGATATAACTACTGCTACACACAACTACATCCATTAAAATGTTTTATGCTTATAAAGAAAGAATATGCCTGTACCTAACTTTTGAATTTCCTTATAATTTCACTCTTGCTGATTTGGTGCATCTCTATTACTTTGAAATTTCATCAATACTTTTTTAAAATTAATTATGTGTAATTTGTGTGTCATTTGAATCAGAGTTTATGACTTATTATACTTACAAACAGGGAAATGGCCTGTATGACCTATATAAAGTGAAGCCTGTTGAACTTTGTTCTCCTGACTTTTTACTGGATATCTGGTTGAGCATCTAATTACTGTGATGGTGTTGTTTACGATATGCTTTGTGTAAGTTTCAAATCAAAAACATAGGGAACAGAATGGAAGAAAAGGGTGCAAAAAAGTCTTCAAAGCTTGTGGTTTGCTTAGCAGGAGCTCAGGATTAGAGTACAATAACTGGTATATAAGAAGAAGAAGAACAAGAGGAACATAATATGATTAAACGATGTTATTAGTGATCTGACCTACAGTAAAATAGTTGCAGCTCAGATAATCTTGTGGGAATTTTAGTTCCATAGCACGGAGATGAGAAAAGGAAAAACAAAGAAAAAAGTAAATAACTCCTTCCAGCCATAACACATTTTAGTAAGCAATTGTCTTTTGACTTATTGTTCTAGTGTATTTATCTATTTATTGTTGTGTGTAAAAATGCACCAAGGAAAGATGATTTATCCTGTGTATACAAAACAGTTAAAAAGCTTGCTACTAACTTGCAACAGTAAAATACCAACATATTTCAAGAATTTGTGGGCTAAGCTTTATTGGAAATTATACTACATTTTATAATTGCTATTTTTAATCTATACCAGATATTAAGATTTAGAATAAAGCTAAAAAAAAAAGTTGCAATTGTTGCCTTTTTTTCTAACATGAAAACATATCCAACTTATCGCGAGATCTGGTAGTTGTTCTTCGTTTGATTTCATTTTAAGGAGACAATTGAAATTCTTGCAATACTTAAAGAAAACAGTAGCTAAGTTCATTCTGAAGTAGGTTTAATGGTCAACTGAAGCGTTTAAATTTATATAGTGAACAAATAAAACCAAACCGCACACCAGCTAAGATTCTCGCTTCGTCTACGTCAGCACGTCAAGGCGTCAACCGTTGTCACGTTGTACGTCACCTGAGTGAGTGTTTTGAAAGGGATGGTTTGCTATGAAGCTTCTGGGATTATAGCGGAAACCGAAGCAAGATAGGTGTGTATTTCTTTAATTGTGCCTTTTCTTTTGATAATATTAACTCACGTATGTGAGTAAGTTTGGTGTAAATTTGGTTTCCGTACTATTATAGAAGAAAAACTGATTATAACTTATTATTGAACGGCTAACAAAGCAAGCTAATGTTAGCAAGCTAAGTATGCTAAGTATTTAGCCCAATCGTGGGCTGACTCAGCCAACAGAAGTGTTTCCTACGTTTTATTTCCAGTGGTTCAATTTGTATGTCGTTTAAGCGCGCAAGACCATCAGGTTTGTCTTGCATAAAACATGTAGTCGTTTAAAATTAATTTCGTAAGGTAGTTTAGGGTTTTCCAGAGGCTGACAATGATAGGGGGAGTAAACTGACTTGTTGATTTTTACCCTTTACGTCTGAACAGATAATGAACGGTGAAAGATCCAGACCAGACTCCCCCCTGTTCGGGTGATGGCAGCACGTCTGCAGTCATATGACAGTAACTCTAGTGACACGGAAAACTGGGAACGCATCACACCGAACCGACCTCGCAAACTCTGCAAGCATTCGAGGTGAGCTCAATTTGAAAAAAATGCGACATCTTCTAAAACTGTAAAATAAATACATAAATGAAAAAAGTCTGAGCTACTTATGGATGTCAGTTTATTCTGAAATTTAACTTTGTCACGCATCTCTCAAATATTTTTAGAAAAAAAATAAGGTTTATACAGAGAATACATTTATTCTCTTTACCTTCTTAATTCCAACTCATCAATAACAATTCTGTTGCATTTAATGTGGAAATAAATGTTTTAGAATGTTAATGTTTAAATAGGAGTATCCATTCTCAGTATTTTAGAGATTGTGTAATGTTTACTGAACTTATTCCTCCATGCAACTTTAGGGAACAGAGATGTTCAGTATTTTAAGTCTTTTACCTAATATGATGTGATTGTGGAGGCACAGAAAATTATAAACAATACAACACTTGTTCTCAATACAGAGATGTTTTTTTTTTTTTTTACATTCAAAAGAGATTTAGGATTTCCAACTTCACAAACAAATGGTACATAAACTAATTAATTTGTTAAGGGATGAAAATATAAAATCATTGAAAGTAATAAGTTGTCTGTTTTCTTTAGTTGTAGCATTTTTCTTAAATTTTTTTCATTGCGTTGTGCTTAAATGTCATTTTGATTCAATTTTGTAATTCATTTTTTAACTCTAGACAAATTTTTCTACAAGATAATAAGTTACATTGCCCTACTTTGTTTTTGTATTTATTTTGTTTATTTGTCTCAAACCTGTAGTCTAACATGGTGACGGCCAGTTTGTTTGAAGAACTAGAACTATTATTGAGATGTACTCATGCCACTGTTTTTGTTGGTTTCCGCTAATAATCTTTTTGAGTAGCTTACATTCAGTTTAAGTTGATTACTTACCTGTGACCAAAAAGCTTGATCATGAGTCAGATAAGGAAGTAGATGTGAGAGGAAAAGTACAGGGTGGTGTTGAGAGGGTGGTTTTCATTCTCAACATTGGCCTTTCTAGTTTTTCTTTTTTTTGTTTTTGTCCCTTTGTCATTTGAACATTTTAGAATGTTGTCAGTCCAGTTGTACGAGTGATTACAGGTGCTCTACTTAATGCCTCTTGTAAAATCCTATTGGTGCAAACATACAATGCAAGTGTTAAAAGAGTGATTTACAACCTCTTAAGAGTAGATGTGTTTAAACTCTGATAATTTTCTGCTTTGAGTGACTTTCTGATTGTGTTAGTGTGGAGCTGCCCATTTTGCCCTTTTGCCATGCCAGCTTTTTTGTTTTGTCTTGTATCTGATGTTTTTAGGCACTAAATAGAGCCATTTACCATAGAAAGTTTCATATCAACCAATCATCAAGTTGTGCCCACCAGGGAACATTTTGTACATGATGCGATTGACAACCAATAATTTTAAGTGAATTTCTATAATGTGCTTAACTGTAGATAAATATGTATTTATTTTTTGTTGTTGTTGCTCTGGATAAAAATCTGGCATAATTTACATGAGTAAAAATAAATGGAAATTGATGTAAAGGGGAAAAAAATGTGTATATATATATATATATATATATATATATATATATATATATATACACACACACACTATTTTTTTTTATGTGATCTTTAAAAAAAATGTCATGACTATCTTGGTAATTCATGAAAATACTTAAAAAAATAAATAAACTAACTCAAAGCGTAAGTACATAGAGTCGGAGACAGTGTATTCACTGGGCAAAATGGGACAAAATAGTAATTTCTGGAGCCAAAATGGAAAGCGGTATATTAAACTAGAGCAATCGCATTGTTACAACTTCAATGGAAATGTTTTGGCCTTGAGGAAAAGAAGGAATGAAAATTATATGTGGTTTTCTCTTAAAAAGCAGCAGTCAGGCCAGAGCTTCTCGAGTGGAGGCAGAACAGAGGAACATGAGCTTGCATGGTGCCAGTGGGGGTTGCGACCGCTCACGTGACCGCCGTCGTTCCAGCGATCGCTCTAGGGACTCCTCACATGAGAGAGAAGGGCAACTAACCCCCTGCATTCGAAACGTCACCTCACCCACCCGCCAACACAACAGTGGTGAGTAGAGAGCCTGCATATAAGTCATGTAATGGTTCTCCAGCTCCTGTCGGTCACTATTGAGAACAGCCGACTGAAACCCAAAGCTCACTTGTGGTTTACATATCATAAATCCAACAAATAATGCTTTTTTTTTTAATAATGCATTTTAACCTGGATGCTTACAGTTTAACTTATCCTCCAAATTAAAATTTAATTGAGAAACTGTTGTTCCTTTGTGTGAAGATCGAGATCGAGATGGTCCTTCATCAAGGCCCAGTAGCCCCAGGCCTCAGAGAGTCTCACCCAGTGGTTCCAGCAGCAGCGGAGTTGTGAGCAGTCGCAACAGTAGCTTGTCTAGTTCTGACGGCACCTTCAAAAGTTTGGGCGCCGGAGAAATGGTTTTCGTCTATGACAATCCTAAGGAGGGAGGCGCAAATGCCCTCGTTGGAAACCGAAACACGAGAACCTCAGAGAGAGTCACTCTGATTGTCGACAACACACGCTTTGTAGTAGACCCTTCCATCTTCACTGCACAACCCAACACCATGTTGGGCAGGTACAGCACAATAACACTCACTGTCTGGTGTAGTTTTTAACTAAATTAAACATCAGATGTTCTTCCCGCTGGATTGAGAATATAAACCTGAGCTTCTTTGTTGCAGGATGTTTGGCTCTGGAAGGGAACATAACTTTACAAGGCCCAACGAGAAGGGGGAGTACGAGGTGGCCGAGGGCATCAGCTCAACAGTTTTCCGAGCAATTTTGGTCAGTTTCCTTCTAATGTTGTCTCTATTCATTTAAGAGCTTGTAGACTGAAATGTGTACATAATACACCTCATGTGTGCTTTTAATTACTCCTAAGCTAAAACAAATCTCCTTTAAAGTGAACTAATTTTCATTAGAAAGACATTAATAACAGGACAGTGTGGTCAAACAGTTTGATGATAAAGATGAAAAGACTGGATTATTCTGCTCTTAGTTCCAGCTATCACATCCAATTAGTTTACAAAATTTTGTCTCATACTTTATTAATTATTAACTTTAAAATGTTTTTGTGTGTGTAAATGAATGTTGCTTACAAATAACCCACCTAGTGACAATTTAACATACAGTAAGAGTTTTAACTTGTAAATCTCAGAGGTGTAAAATACACAACCAGGTTACTTATGTCACCTTAATTAAAGCTTTTGGTTTACTTGTGTATATTTTATGAGTTAATGGATCCACAGTGTTTGAAACAACTGTCTTCTTTGTGATTTTTATCTAATTAACAGGATTACTACAAATCTGGGATAATCCGTTGTCCAGATGGAATCTCCATCCCTGAGTTGCGGGAGGCGTGTGACTATCTATGCATCTCCTTCGACTATAGCACCATCAAATGCAGAGACCTTAGTGAGTTCCCCTATGTTGAGGTTTTTACAGTCGCACATTAAGGCATGCAGCTTCAGAACAGCAGTGTCACATTTTCATAGCACTTTGTTAAAAGAGGGAAGAAAAACACATTTCATCGGTCAGAGGGTGCTGTTCCAGATTTCTGTGGATTAATTTAATTTAGACTCAGACGAACTCGAGAAAAAAAACGTTCAGAAAATTTAGCACGACTTTTGTTTTTGATGCAGTAGCTAGAAGAAGAAGGCTAAATCCTTGGTGCCTTCAGTGTCTGAAAGCTCCTTTTGTTCAGCACTGCCAAACATTGTAGATTAGGACTGTTGACAGCTGCTGCAGAAATGCTGCCAATTGTTTTGACATGTTTTGGACAGGCTTAGATCTATTATAGTCTATTTAATCACAGTTCATCAGCACCGATTCAACTTTCAGGACACGACGGTTGCTTTTATACACTAAAACTAAATTTTGATCAAAGTGTTTTTAAATATGCATACTTGGGGAAAAAATGAGCAAAAAATTTATTTTGAGATTTCTAATACCTGTATGTGAAAGCAGGAAATTAAATAATTTTTAGAAGTTTCCATAACACTCTTTTCTCCATCAATGATAATGTATTTTGGTAGTGCAAGTAAAAAAAAAAAATTCACTTTTTTCCTAAGCCTTTTCTAAAACAGGGCGGCCAAATGGCTTGTTTGAATGATCTGTGCACGTTTACTGCTTCGGTGACCTTACTGAAGTAGATCACATTTAATTTTGAACTCGTCTCTTTTTCCCAGGTGCCCTGATGCATGAGCTGTCCAATGACGGCGCTCGACATCAGTTTGAGTTTTACCTCGAGGAAATGGTTCTGCCCTTAATGGTGGCCAGTGCTCAGAGTGGAGAGAGGGAATGTCACATTGTAGTTCTGACAGATGATGATGTGGTGGACTGGGATGAAGAGTATCCACCACAAATGGGCGAGGAGTATTCACAGAGTAAGTGCCTGCCTGCTTCTGCAGAAAACGGACACTGATGAGGTTTTGTATTTTGTGTTCACAGCAGAAATGTGTGGTAAATTTAATTTAATAACCTTTTATTTGTTCTCATTGCAGTTATTTACAGCACAAAACTGTACAGATTTTTCAAGTACATCGAGAACCGAGACGTTGCCAAATCAGTTTTAAAGGAGAGGGGGCTAAAGAAAATAAGGCTGGGTATTGAAGGTATGCTGGACTTTCCAGGAAAAATGTGTTCTGTGTTTTTCCAAGTCAGACTTTCATGAAATGTTTGTGGAAGAATTTGACTTCATGATTTAAAAAGTGCACTGAATGTTTGACTTGGAGGCTTTTTTTCCTTTACTGGAAAAATTAGGATTCAGATTTTGGTTAATTATCATCTGTTATTTTATGGGATTGAATTAGTGTGTCTCACTGATGTCGTACTGATTCACTTCTTTAAAAGAGAAGTAATAGTTAATTTCAGGGTTTAGATAAAAGGTTAGCAGGGATGAACTAAGGTTAAACATGTCTTGTGTTTTCAGACTTTATTCCCTATTCTATTGTCTTTTCTCATTCTTTCATTCATTCTTTCCTTCCTTATACACTTTCTTTCATACTTTCATACTTATGTCTTTTCTTCAACTCTACATTATTCCCCCCTCCTGTGTGTGTGTGTTTGTGTTTTTTTTTCTGATCGACTCCCTTTCTCTCCTTCCTTTCTTCCTTTTTCTTTTTCAGAAAGTTATCTGGAAAAGGAATTTGAAATATGGAATTTTACATAAAATGTGAAGAAACCCTGTTAAAATAATACAAGTGTTTAAAGAGTTTTAATTGAGATTGGCAAGCGTAAAATAAGAACTGCATATATTCTGTCAACAGGTTACCCCACTTATAAGGAGAAAGTGAAGAAGCGCCCAGGGGGTCGCCCCGAGGTGATCTACAACTATGTGCAGAGGCCCTTCATCCGCATGTCCTGGGAAAAGGAAGAGGGCAAAAGCCGACATGTGGACTTTCAGTGCGTAAAGTCCAAGTCCATCACCAACCTGGCTGCAGCAGCTGCAGATATCCCCCAGGACCAGCTGGTTGTGATGCACCCTGGCCCACAGGTGGATGAACTGGACATCCTACCCAATCACCCACCCAGTGGGAATCACTACAGCAACAACTACAGCAACGAGCCTGATCCTGATGCACCTTCACCTGCTGTCTGAGGACTCTGCTCCTCTCTCAATGCCTCTGCCCCTCTCTTACTCCTCTAGTCCTTTTCCCAGCATGCTGCAGCATGGAGCTCCTGGGGCACCATAACCATATTGCCTTGACACCTCCTTTGCAGCCTTAGAGCCTCAAAGAACCAGGAAGACTGTAGAAAAAGAAACATGAGGAAACGGGAGATTGTACAAGAAAGAATTTCCCGTTGTTTTCATTTTTTTTTTTTTTTTTTTTTTTTACTTGACCAAAGGAATTTATTTTTGTTTGGAAACAAATCTGTAAAAACACTTGGTATTAATATTATTATTATTATTTACATTGTTCTTGTACATTAATTTGATGGGTTTGGCTGAACACTTGTGGTGTCATTGTTTCTTCTTGGTTTTGTCACACAATTTTTGGAGTGACCTCCTCAATGTGCTTTGAAGGGAAGACTTGTGAAAGGAGAAAAATCAATCCAACTGGTCATGGGGAAGAAAAAAAAAATCAGACATAACCATTTAGTGTCATGATCTCCAGCTGAACTCCTCACAGATGTCTTCAAAATCCTAGCCATGGGAAATGTAGTCATTGGCTGGATTTGATGTGATTTTATGCTCCTGCAGCCAAGATATTCAGCAGAGCACAGGCTGTCGTGGTCAGTTTGTTTGTGCTGAGCTTGAATTTGTTGTTTAAAACTGACATGAAATCATGAAATAAAGGTGAAATATAAACATTATGTATGAGCCATAATTACAAAATGTTTTGCACACTTAAGTGTCTCATCAATCCTTCAAAAAGTATAAAAATGTTGACTTTTTGAAGTAGTTACATTTTTTTTAATTTCTCAGCCTCCCTCCTAAAGTAAAGCTAGAAAAAAAATTGCATTTCCTGTGAAAATACAGCGTGAATGCAGTAAACTGAATATTTTTAGTGAACATTGCAGAAGCATTTGAAGTCAACTGCAGGAGAGTTGCAGAAAAATAATAAATTGGCAGAATAAAGAAAAAGCCTGCAAATAGAAAAACAGAAGAGGAGTGAAAGCTTTCAGTCAAAGCAAAGATCCCACCCAAAGAGTATTAGAAATTTGTGAAGAACATTGTTTACAAAGCTAAACTGTAAGGTCATAACAGTTGACAAGCTTTAATTAGCTAAATGCTAATTCCCCCATATCTGCACCTGTATGGACTCTCCAGAGATCTGGGGAACATCAGGCCACCCTACCTTCAACTAAGCTTTGTTTATAAAAGAAAATGTGTACAAAAGTTAGGGTTACCACCTTTCAGAACGTAAAATAAGGGACGTCCACCAGACACAGTTTGTGTCTAAGTAGAACTTCTGTAATGTACGAATATTTATATATTTACGATTTGTTCTTGAGATAGCCAGTTAGATTATTTTTGGCTGATATCAGTGTCAGCTGGTGGTGATATTGGAACGGTGGGCTAATTTATTCAGATAGGTCAAAAATAACTTAAAAGCTAATGAGAAGTTTTGCAAATGGGCTTTCAATAATTATCATTTTAATATGCTGCGCTTCAAAAGGAGGGTTGTAATTAAGGTTTTAAATAGGTTTGGAAGGAGTGTTGGAATCCAGGTTTGAATTAGGATTGAGGGATGGAATTAGAGTTGGAAGGAGTCCTGGATTTAGGGTTGGGAGTGTGTTTTAATTATTATTACTATTAAAGTACAAAACACTCCGTATAAAAACAAAATGTTGAAACAAAAAGCTCTCATGAGATATTTCATGAGTGGCTATAACTTCTTCTCACCACATGTGGGCAGTAGAGAATAACTGATTTCTAATAAAAGTCCACATATATTTCACAGGATTTTATTCTCAATAGTGTAGACAGAATGTCTATATAAATGGGTTATATAGATCCTAATCCTAATAGCATTTTTTTTTCTCCAGTTTCTGGTTAAAAACTATCTGGAGCCACAAAAACCTGAGAAAGCACACGACTCCTTAAAAAAAATAACAGCATGTACAGTTGTTGCATGCTTTGTGGATCAATTAGGAACCACATTTTTTACGTGTTAGGTTTTGAAGCAAACAAAAATTTCACACATAAAGGAATGCATTCATTTTTCTTAATAGGACTACATTCGGGGGAAGACAAGGGGGATGAAATATGTACAACTTGATTATTTTTAAGTATTTTTTTCTTTTATTTTGGAACATGTCTTAGTTCTACATCATTTTCAGCCACAGTTATTAAGAACCACTGTGAGAGCCACAGGTTGCAGACTTTTGGTTTAACCTCTTAAGCAGAAGTGAATCCACTCAGACTTCAGCCCACAAGAAGCTTAGCAGCAGTCAGAGCTGGAAATAATGGACCTCTATGGGAACTTGTACCCAACACATTTATAAACTCTACATTCACTTTTTTGCAACTTCTGTTTCAGATTAAAATGTTTCTCTCATTCTTAAGTTACAATATTTTTCACACATTACAGTAACAGTTCAATTTTTGTGGAATTTTGTCACAGCGACCTGCGAAATAAACTAAAAGAAAATGGCATTTAGAAACCCATTTCAAGTGTTGAACGCAAGTTTGCTATTTAGAGTTAATGACACCGTTATAGTTTTCAATTTCTAATTACAGAAGCACACGAGTCAGGTGGTTTGAACCCATTTCTTCTGTTGACTGAACCTCTTCAGGGAGGTTTGTGTGGTTATATGTCAGTCTCACACGGTCAGGTTACGTTAAATTAATTTAGCAAATACTGCATTTAGGTTTGTTTTTTTTTTTTTTTTGCTGCAGCCACTTGTTAATTTAAGCAATTAATGTTCAAGCCAAACTTTTTATCTATTAGTGTGGTGAACATTTTTAGTCAGGAATAACAGCTTAAGCTTTAAAATGGATACAAAGAATTTTCCGAACATCTAATGCAACCTTTCAATCTGTCAACAGCTGGCTGAGGACAGACTCTGGTGTCTTCTAATTTAATATAATTCAGCCAAAGAAATGCGAACATGGAACTTAAGACTTTGCTTGTCTCTAACCATCTGCTTTTTTGCAGGATTACATGTCGATACGGCACATCGCAACGTGTGGAATTTAATTTTAGACACTGTGGGTGGTTTTAAAATGCTGTGAAACAAACAATGGGAGACTCATCTGTGATTTAATCTGCTATGGTGTCCATGTTTTGTTTTTTTTTGTTTTTTTTGCCATTTTTCAATCTATCACTTTCATCTCTGCCCAAAGAACATGATAATTACAAACCATAAAAGTTTCACACCATTAATTTTGAAGCATCATCCATCCGTCCATTGTCTATACACCAGGGAGGTGCCTGTTTCCAGCAATCATTGAGCGAGGGACGGGCTACACCCTGGACAGGTCGCCAGTCTATCGCAGAATCATACAGGACAAACAGCCATGTGTGTACACTTGTGCCAAATGGCAATTCAGAGTAACCAATTAGCCTAATTTACTTGCTTTTGGACTGTGGGAAGAAGCTGTGGCACCCATAGAGAATAAAAGCTTGTTTGAGGAAAATACGCAAACTCCAGGCAAAAATATTTGAACTCAGGACTTTCTTGTTGCAATGCAGCAGTGCTAACCACTGTCTCAGCATGCAGCCCATTGAGCAATGAAATATTGTAAATTAAAATACCTAGGCTTATTTTCTTTATCAATCCCATCTGCTAATGCATCCTTTCACAATGTATTGCTATAAAGTTCATTTCTATCCAAGATTTTCTCAGATATTCAAAGATTTGGATCAAACTGATAGATGCTGTTGTAAGTTATTTTAGGTTATCGTTTTTGCCTTTTAATGATTGGCATCAAAAGGGATACTATGTATCTTATGTACTTTTTTGACTCTTACCTCTGCGACACACAATTTGTAATCCTGAGAAGAAGCGGAAAGAGCAAAAACAAAAAAGCTGTACAATGTGAAACCAGAGAGGGAAACGACACAAAGGGTCAAGAATCACGCAAACGTAATTTAAGAAGGAAAGTACTAATGGCTTGATTGTAGCACAGCAGTCATAAAAATCCTAATCATAAACAAGGCTGCAGACGACTTTGGCTCATGTTTTACGATGTTCGAAGCAAACTGGAACGCTTTTTTTCTCCAGTGGGTTTTGCATTGCACTCTGTATTAACTAATAAAGACTGACTCACTCTGGGGTGATGGGGGAGCTAACAAACAAAAGAACTTCTTTAAAATTCTTGTACATTCTTGAATTTGCATGCTTGTGTTTTGCAGTTTCTTCCAGTTATGTCCAAACTTAAAGTCACAATGGAAACTGTGAAGCTGCTGAACCACAGAGAAGGAAAATATTATTTATCTGATCAGATTCTAGTCATAACAAACCAGAGAACTGAATGCTTTTGTCTTCATAGTGGCTCATAGCCTTTTGATTTTTCTTTTCCTGTTTTGGATTTCACACATCTCCCCTATTCCTGCAGAATACTTCATCTGCTCTGTCATCATGCTCTCTACTGGTGTTTAAGATCCTGGTTTCCCCAGAGTCTCACTGGAAGAACCAGAGGCAGACCCAGATCATGTGTGAGAGACTATAACTCCAATCTGACCTGAGAATGCCCACAATGCAATTAAACTGTGTGGACTTATTCCTTTGTCACTGCGGTAATGTACATGCTGCTTTATAGTCTTGCTGGCAGTACATGAATCATTTAAAAAGGAGCATTTGTCCTGTTTTGTGTTCTGCTGATTGTCAGCAACAACTACATGTAAGTGGTTATCATACACACCAAATGAATTGTAATCAATCCCCTCTCCCAGGAATGAGCTTTTCTGACTTCCTGCGGCAAGCTGTGCTGCAAATGCTGGTTTGTGACTCAGCAGTCGACTGCTGCTTGACTCCAAAGCCTTCCTTTAAAAATTTTATTTTTCTTACAAAAAAAAGCTCTCAATCCAATTGACTCCACATAATTCCTTTCTTACTATGTCACCCAAATTTCACTTAATCCCTCATCCCCACCAAATTTCTTGGCTTTCCATCTACATACTAATGAAGATTTAGACATTCTTTAATCAGGCCATGTAAACGTCCAGCTTGTCTTACTCTGGACTTACTATTTTAATTGGACAAAAGATTCTATTCAGAATATGTAAATTGCTTATACATATTAAAATAGTTTTGCCAAACCTTCAAATTACAGAAACTCTTTCTTGACATAAACTATTTTTTTTAATATCTTGTCATAGCTTAAGTGAATTTCTGAAGAATTAAGAAAAAGCAAACGCCAAAAGAAAACATTCAAAGCATATATAATTCCT